ATTCTCATTAATGTTAATTAATCATCATTAACATTAAGCTAATCATGATTATCTTTAAGCTAATTACGATTAATTAGCTAAACATGGATTAAGTTAATTAAGCAAGGTTTAATGACCATTACTTAATTAATGATGTACGGTGTACCAGTGTGAACGCGTCGCTGTATAGGAATGACGACGTCCATATTTGGTAACCTTAACCAAACATACTTGTTTTCAGTCATAACTTGACCTTGGAACTTAATTCAATTGTTCTTAACTTCGACTATTAATCCGAACATTAATATTTCGAATAGATCGTCAACTTGGCTTTTTAATTCCGAACTCATTAACTAATTAAATGAATCGGAATTAAATCTGAAAACTCGTCCGGTTACTGAAATAACCAAAACGAATACTTTATCGACTAATAGTCGAACTTTAACTGAAACTGGATAAATTTAGACTTGGACATGAATATTTATTAACAAAGGCTAGCTTTAAAATTAAAAGCTAGTATTTTCCTTTATTAATAAAACTCGGGGTATAACATTTAGCGAACATGGCAAATGGTTGGATTTTTGCGTGCTTTTGATCATGATGACTCCGGTGAACCAAAGTCGCTCTTTCTCCCTTGATTTCTCTCATCTTCTTGCGTGATTTACTTGCTTTCGATTTCAATTTCGTAGATTAATTTAGCTTAAATCAGCCCTCAATTCAAGTGATTAGCATGTTTAGGACCTTTTCGATTGTGTGATTTGTCGACTAGATAGTGAATAAAGCTCCGAAGAGCCTTCCTTTGAGAACGACCCGAGTCGGGTAGCTCGGTTACCACATGCCCAAAAATATACTCAACAATAACACAAAGAGTTTAGTTGTTGGGATCATATTTCTAGTCGATTGCATATTTCGTGTCACGTTGCCTTTTGGAACATACCATATTTTCCTCATTGTCAAAATTTCACACTCCGTTTGATTCGTCGTCCCCCTTTATCATGTCCATTACTTTGGGTCGCTTTCCAAACACTTCTACCGGCTCACAGCTTAATGACCTGCATCTGCATATCATGAACCAGCTCCTAAAGGGGCTCCACCTGCACATCATGAACCAGCGCTTTCTGTTAAGTCCATTCACCATGTTCTTTCACCTACCATTGATCACCGATGATCAACTCGTGTAAGTCATCCGCGGGCTCACCTAATTGGCTATCATTGTTATTCCATCATACTATCCTATCATGAGCCTAGCTAGAGATGTTAAATGGTCCTTGGCCCGATGGGCCGGCCCGTTTAACTCGAAAAAAAATAGGGTTAAGTCCTTTTATTAGTAGACCATTTAAATCAGGGCTTTTTAGACCCAGACCGTTTAGCCCGAAGCCCGTTAGGGCTAACCCGAAACCCGCTAGGGCTGACCCGTTTAACTAGGGTTGGGCAGTGTAAATGTTTACATCAAGTAAGTAATATGCTATTAAATTACTTGTATATTTCAACTTTGGTATTCCACTTCACATGTAAGTATGAGTTGTAATGAATTATTATGATTTTGAAAGATAATTATTAACAATATTGTTATTCTACTTCATACCAAAACTAGTGCAAATCCCGTGCAATGCACGGGGTGCACAATTTTAAGGTTATTTATCCAATTTTATTATTATATTCATGAATAAAGAAAATTAGATAAATAGAATAAAGAATACTATTATATATTATTAAAAATTTCCTTGTAGAAATTTTTTTTTGCCTTGTAGGCACACCATATTCCCGTAAATTAATATTTTCAAGCCTTTCCAATTAGTGACACGGGAAGCTACATACAGTTGGTCGTAACTGGACACCATCTTCTTCAAAAACATATCAACATGTGGTAACACTGACTTTTAATCGTCATGGAATATAAAACCATTATGGGAAACTGCCTCTGTTTGAATTTTAAAGGTACTCTAAAGTCGGGCCGGGCGGTCGGCCGCTGG